TAAGGTGCGTAGACGTCAATCTTAGCGATAAGTACTTTGTAACCCTTTAAAATAGAATACAACCATTAATCTCAATCTCGTCTTTGTTTTCTTATCCTTTCATTGTCCCTTTCATTTACATTTAAGTAAGTTAATCATTCTGAAAAAAAAAAATATTACATATATCTTATATTGTTCGAAAAAACTTTTTTGAGATTTATAAGTCTTTTTTTTATATAATAATAAATACATACTTACTTATCCATTTTACTATTTAAATTTATAATTCTCAATTCTCTCAAAAATATACTAAAATTATATTATATGAAATAATTTTTAGAAATTAGCAGAATAATGAGCGTACACAAAATTGAATGTAGCGTCAGATGTTGTCAATTATTATTTAGGTAATATAGTTTTTTATAACCAATTAGACAGTTGTAGATAAAATTTTTTCGACGTTATATTACATATTTCATCATAACTTCGTATTCCACAATAGTAAATCATGTGTAAAAGATATAATGAAAACAGCTTCGATTTTTAATTATCAAAAAAAAAAATTTTGTTCACTTCTACAGATGATTTGAAATCTAAATTTAAATTTGGTGATAAGTCAGCGTAAGTTTTTAATTACAAATATATAAACAATTTTTTAGAAATAAGTACTATTACACAAGATTTTAATTGTTTTTAAGCGTTAAGTTTTCTGACATGCTATTTTTCATTATTAGCAGTACATACAATAAATATATAAGATAAACAAAAGCATGATAAAATCAACAAGATAATCACCTTTAAGTCCTTATTTTTACGCGTCTTTTAAATATTGTTTTTTAATCGTAAAATTGTTTAATAGATTAAACATAGTATCTCCAAAAGATCATGAACGCTTTTTTTTAAAACTTATTTTAAATAAATTACATGGGGCTACATCGTTTGAAGACGTTAAAAAACATAATGGAATAACATATAAAAATTTAAGGGATACTGCTATTGCAATGGGTTTAATATAACATGATTCTGAAATCGGCAATATTTTTAAAGAAGCCATAACAATTATGTTTTCATACCAGTTAAGACAACTTTTTGCTTGGTTTTTTATTTCAGAAAACATTTAAGGAGATAAAATATGGAATGAATATGAAAAATATTTTACAACAGACTTTGATAATGATAATAATAATTGTGCTCTTCTACATATTAATCAAATTTTGGTATCGGAAGGTAAATCATGTGAGTCTTTTAGTTTACCGACACCAACTATTAGAAACTATATAAATAATTGCAATATTGAGGAAATATCTTTCAATAAAAAAATGTTCGATATAATGTACACAAATTTAAATGAAGATCAAAGAAAATTTTTAAAACTATTTGTGAACAAGATGAAAAAGTATATTTCATAGATGGTCCTAGTGGATCCGGAAAAACCTATTTATATAAGACAGTCATTTATTACTTTATTTCTAGAGATAAAAATATTTTGTCAATGGCTTGGACAGGAATTGCATCTGTATTACTACCAAAAGGTATGACCAGTCATAGAACTTTTCGTTTAGCTCTAGACTTAGATAATATTAAAAGTGTATTTTTAGAATTAAACTGAAAAAAAAAGAATTAAGGGAAGTTGATTTAATAATATGGGACGAGGCTTTTATGATTCCGAAAAAAGCTTTAGAAATCGTTGATAGAACGTTGAGAGACTTGTGTAATACAAAACTTTGCTTTGGTGATAAATTAATAGTATTAGGAGGAGATTTTGACAAATCCTTCCAGTTG